GCATAGAATATTTTTTTCCGTCCCTTCCCTTTCAGCCTGTTCATATCTTTTTTTGTGAGGTGGATCTCTTGTAGACAGCATATATATAGGCTGTGTTTTCTTATCCATTCAGCTACCTTGTGTCTTTTTATTGGAGCATTTAATCTATTTACATTTAAGGTTATTATTGATAGGTACTTATTTATTGCCATTTTTAATCCCTATGCCCCCCCCCCAATTTCTTTTTCTTCTAAAAGCAGACTCTTTAGTATTTCTTGCAATGCTGGTTTTGTGGTAATGAACACCTTTAGTCTTCTTTTATTTAGGAAGCTCTTTATTTCACCTTCTATTTTAAATGATAACCTTGCTGGATAGCGCAGTCTTTGTTGCAGGTTCTTGCTTTTCATTACTTTGAGTACTTCATGCCATCCTTCTGGCCTGAATTGTTTCTGTTGAGAAATCAGTTGACAGCCTTATGGGAACTCCTTTGTTGGTAATTGATTGTTACACTCTTGCTGCCTTTAAGATTTTCTCTTGCCTGGCTGGGCATGGCTCAGCAGTTGAGCATCGACCTAGAATTCAGGAGATCAAGGTTTGATTCTCAGTCAGGGCACATGCCTGGGTTGCAGGCTCAATCCCCAGTCAGGGGTGTGCAGGAGGCAGTCAATCAATGACTCTCTCATCATTGATGTTTCTATCTCTCTCCCTCTCCCTTCCTCTCTCTGAAATCAATAAAGATATATTTTTAAAAAGAGAGAGAGTAAAAAAAAATTAAAACACTAGTATTTTTTTTTTTTTAATTCTCTTTGTATTGTTTAATCTTGGTAATTTTAATTATGATGTGTCTAGGTGTGGATTTCTTTGTTTTTATTTTGTTTGGGACTCCTGTGCTTCCGGAACTTGTGTGACCTTTTCCTTCACCAGGTTAGGGAAGTTTCCTGTCATTATTACTTCAAACAAGTTCTCTATCCCTTGTTTGCTTTCTTCTCCTACTGGGACCCCTATGATGCAGATGTTGTTAAGTTTCATGTTGTCCCAAAGGTTCCTTAAACTATCCTCCTGCTTTTTAATTATTTTGTCTCTTTTCTGTTCTGATTAAGTGATTTTTTTAAATTTTGTCTTCTAATTCACTAATTCAATCCTCTGCCTCATCCAACCTACTGATTATTTGTTCCAGTGAATTTTGTATTCCAGATATGGCATTCTTTATTTCTGCCTGGTTATTTTTCATGGTTTTTAAATCCTTATTCATGCCGTTGTTGTTTTCCCTAAGTTTCTTGAGCATTCTTATAACCATTGATTGGAACCCTCTATCTGATAAATTGCTTGCCTCCACTTCATGTTGCTCTTTTTCTGGCATCTGCTCCTGTTCTTTCAGTTGGGGCCTGTTTCTTTGGCTCCCCATTTTGACTGTCTCTGGTTTTTTGGGTTTTTTTTATGCTTTATATAGCACTGCCATGACCCCCAGTCTTGGTGGGGTGGCTTTCTATAGTAGTTGTCCTGTGGTTCCCAGTGGTGCAGTCTCCTTGATCTTCTGGGCTGGGTGCTCTAGGAATGTCTCTTGTGTGGGGTGTTTGGACCCTCCTGTTATTATTGCATCTTGATTGCTTATGGCCCTTTCATACTTGGGATCAACCCCTAGGCTGGCTGACTATGGGGCTCAACCCTGCCCCAGGTGTGCAAATTACTGTGCAGGTGTAGTCTTGAGGTGTCCTGATAGGCCCAATGGCACTTTCCTTAACCCTTCAGGCTGGGTGTCTATAGAGGTAAACCTTTATTACCATGTATGAGACACTGCGCAGGGGTTATCCCCGAAGGTGCAGTTGTTCCCAGCAGGGTCTGGAGCCTGCTGAGATCCACCTTTGGGTGTGTAGTTTGTGTGTCTAGTTGGGTCAAGCTCTGGTGTGGTCTGAGGCTCACCACTCATTGTGTTGGTTCTGGGTCCTTTTAGGTGGGTTTCAAATGCAGGTCACTGTCAGATGTTGTGTGTAACTGTCCTTGGGCTGCCCGTGTGTAGTTATCACTCCCTTCACTGTGTGTAGTTACCACTCTCTTCTCTGTCTGCATCTGCTAGACCTGTGTGTTCATGGGAGGGACCAATCTGTGTAAATGGGTTGGCTTCTTTTAGCTTAGAGCTATGGGTAGATCTGCGGTTAGACTTAAGCTCCCCGAGATCTGCCTCCACCTGCCAGCTACTTCACCTCCCCCCTGAGGTTTCCTGGTCTTCCTCCAGAGCCTTCCAAAGAGAGGCTGTAGGATGGGTCCAGGCTAACCTAGCTCGGGCTAGTGGGCCTTCTGCTTGGATATTACTTAGTCAGGCACTCAATGAGGGGAAATTAGTTTTTGCTTCAAAACCAAACTCTTCAGTCCCTACCAGAGACTCCAATTCAAATTCCCCCTAAGGGGGGCTTCCTGCAGGTTCAGGTTGGTTATAGCCTGCAGTCTTCTCTGCAGAAGCAGTTTCAGCTGTCCTGGGCTCAGGGGAATTGATCAAAAGAGTCTCTGGTTGAGAATGTTGCAGGCCCCCTCCGCCCTCATTAGGGCACTAAGCGCTTTCTCCCATTCTAAAACAGTAGCCTCTGAGGGTCTCACACTTAGAATATCCTGCTTTGAGCCGCTCTCCCATTCCCCACAGAACTGTGCCCAGTGGGACTATCCAGGACTTCAAAGAGCTGAACCAATCAGTATTTTGTTGGGGGTGGTGTTTGCAGCCTGCAGGAATGGGAGACAGGCTCTACCTCTGTTTCTGGGGGCTGCCTGGGGGAACTCACAGGGAGCTCAGATCAGCCTCCCCACTCTATAGTCACAGAGCCCAGCTGTCTCCTAGAGAGAAGCCTTCCCCAGGGGATATAGTCCAATAATCCCCGCACTGCGCAGAACCTATGCCCTCATATCGCCAGTCCAAGCAGGAGGAGTTAGAAAGTTAGCCCATCCCAGGACGATGATTTCTCTGAGCGGCTGGTCTCAGCTAAGTAAGGGGCAGAAATTTCCACCTCCACTCGTGCTCCAGACTCTTCTCAGTGCCGGCCAAAAATCCCTGACCTGTGACCTGCGCTGCTACCCTGTGCCACCAACCCATCAGAAGGGAGCTGTTCCATGGTGAGGGAGGGTTTCTGACCCTGCACTTCAGGTGGATCCTTTCCCCCTTTCTCCACATCAGATAGTTTAGTTACTCACTGGGGTTCTGCCCAATGCCTTTCAAGAGACAAGAGGGTCCCTCAAAGTCACTGCTGAGGGCAGCCCGTGGGCCGCTCTGCTGGGCCCAAACACTGCAGCACAGCCTTTCCAGCAGAGTCCATGCAAACATCTCAGGCTGGGGTTGCTAACAATAGGCACATTCCTTCCCTGGAAAAGTGTGGTCCCAGCTTCCCAGGCAGACAGAATTCCCTGGTTCCCTCTGCCCAGTGCTATGTGGGCCCTCCTTCCTGTCTCTGCTGCTCTGGATTTGGGATCCCTACGTGGAATTGAAACCCCGCACTCCCAAGGGGAGGGAGCTTTGCAGCCTATATCACACAGGCTGAGGCCCACCACACCTGCTCCTGGTGGGTTCCCCTTTCTGCAACTCCTCTCCTCTTATCAGTCTCTACATGGTTTCTTCAGTGCTCATTAGATATAATATGTCCAATCAACTGCACTTTACCTGGTTTTTCAAGTTGATTGTGAAGTATGTTAGCTGTAAATCTGGTTCCCCAGCCTCCGGCTATGCTGCAGCCATCTTGGGGAGTCCCCCAAACACAGTTCTGGTCATATCCCTACCTTTCTTAAGGCAGCACTATGGCTCCCTGTTGACATCATAGTTTTAGCATAATGTAACTTTCACTGCTCAGTCCACATCCATTCTCCCTCACCTCTGACTCCTGCATGCAGCTCTGCAGCTGGGGTTTGCCGAGTTCGCTGCCCCTACACACGCACACTCCAAGCCCTGGCCCTGCTCTGCCTCTGCCTGTGACACTCCTCAGTCCCAGCACCTTCCCCTGGCTGACTCCCACAAGTGTCCCTAACCAGCTCAGGTATCAATGCCTCCAGGTAGCCACCAACAAAGAGAGCAGGCAGTGCATCTGAGTGTGCTTTTCAATCTCCTAGTAGCCTTGTAAAATATAAGAAGACACTGATGGCATTCATTTTAATAATGTGTTTTATTTAACCAATACTTTCCAAATATTATCATTTCAGAATGTAATCAATAGCCTTCAAAACCCAGTGTTTATTTACTGTTTGAAATATCTCAATTTGGACTAGAAACATTTCAAATGCTCAGGAGCATATGTGGACCTGACAGCACTAGAGCACTCGGGAATCACAATGACCTCTAAATGAATCCACAGCTGCTAATGCTGGGGAGGGTCTAATCCTCGAGGCCTGGAGTGGGACCAGAAACGTTCATTTTCAACAAGAACCCCAAGTGTTTCTGATGTCCGTGTTCCTCTGACCACACTTTAAGACGCAGGGCCTTAAGAGCTAGAGGTACCAGCTTTGGAGTTAGACCCATAAGGGTTTGTGCTCAGACTCCACCATTTAAAAGCTATTTATCTTAGTGACATTACCTTTCTTGACCTCGGTCTCTGCACCTGCAAAAGGAGACTCACAATAAATACCTACCCAGGGACTTGTGGGTATTACATGGATACTGTATTTTAAAAAGTTAGCACAATACTTGACACATACTGAAAATGGCTGTTACCAGCCGTCTGAATGCACACATGCACGCCCCGCCCAGCTATGCCTGCTTTATGGGCCAGACGCCCCCGATCGTCCCCTGCTGATTCTCTGTGCTTCCCTCCACTATCACCCCACCTCACTCTGTGGTCATCATCTGCTTGCTAATCTGTGTCCTCAACTTGACTGAGGACAGAAACTGGCTATTCTGTATGCCCACTTCCCTTTTTCTCACACACAGCAGGTGCTCAGTACACATCATTTTTTAGAAATTGAACTTAATTTGATCAACTGAGTTTCCTCTAGTGGAAAAAACTCTTTACTTAAAAGCACCTCAGGTTCTCATCTATAAAGGATGTATGCGCATGCACAGTGAGTGTAGCACTGTCCTAACACTCTTCCCTTTAAAGTCTGCCACAGAAAGCTTTGCCAAAGTGATCCATGGCTTGAAAGTGGGACACCTGACGGATCGCGTTATTCAGAGGAGCAAGCGGATGATTCTGGATACGCTGGGCGTTGGGTTCCTGGGCACCAGTACAGAAGTGTTTCACAAAGCCAACAAATATAGTCAAGTAAGAAACTCATGTCTGCCTTAGAGATGAAAGCAAGTGTGCACACATGCCTGCTCATGAGCGTACCTGTGAGTGTACCAGAGCTGCGTGTGCGTTCTACTGCTCTGCTCTTCCTTTTAGGGATATATAGCATTGTTGTATATAGTTTTATGCTTTTCTGTGCTCTATTACCTGAGTTTTAATATTCATCCATATATTTTACTAAGTCACTCTCTTATTCCTTTTTTAAAATTTTTTTTAAACATGTCTTTATTGATTTCAGAGAAAGGAAGAGAGAGGGAGGGAGAGAGAGAGAAACATCAGTGATGAGAGAGTCATTGATCGGCTGCCTCCTGCATGCCCCCTGATGGGGATCAAGCCCACAACCCGGGCATGTGCCCTGACTGGGAATCGAACCCCGATCTCCTGGATCCTAGGTTGATGCTTAACCGCTGAGCAATGCCGGCTGGGCCAAAGTCTCTCTCTTAAGGCCAGTCTTCACACTGGTAATATCTCATAGTTTATTACTATTATGGCTGAAAGCATTTTTTATCTGAGAGCCTTAGAAGCAAGAGCACCTACCCAAGACGATTTGTTCATGCAAAGACTTTGAGAGTCCCTGGAGAAAAGGCTGGGCCAGCACTCTGAGCAGGGTGGGTGTGTATGTGGGAGACGTAGCAGCCACTCTACAGAGGATGTGCTTGGTAGAGACAGCTCACCTTCCCCAGTACCTACCCATAGGAGTAAATAAGAGTAAATTCAGACTCCACTCCCTGGAGCACTTAGGAATCATGGTCTGGGATCGAGCAACAGCATCTCTCCTCCCTTCCATGGAGAAAGGCGTGGATTGTCCTACAAGGAAGGGGAGAATCAAACGATTAAGGCCTTGAGCTAATGTAGCACGAAGGGTTCAATAGGGACTAAGGGTGAAGAGGGCCTCCCGCGGTGGGCTTGGCGCGCGTGCTCACACTCAGCGTCACTGACTGGTATCCTTTCGTTCCAGATCTACAGCTCCAACATGTCCAGCACAGTTTGGGGCCAGCCGACGTTGAGGCTCCCACCGACATATGCTGCTTTTGTTAATGGTGTTGCTGTAAGGAGGTTTCCATGTCTTTTCAACTATTAGACAAGCATAATAATTTTCAGAGCTAGGAAATATCTCAGAAATCACCCGATTTCCATATTCTACTGATGACATCATTGAAATTCATAGAGATGACGTGGCCTGCCCTCTCTTCTATGTAGTAATTTTAGTTTTCATTTTTTAATACGGAATTGATGCTTTCCAAATAAATTGTGAAGTAGAGGAAATAAGATTGGATTTAGATAAAACCCCTTCTAAGGTATCTCAACTCTAAACTCTGAATATATATAGTAGAGAACATAAAATCCAATATCCATACTCAATTCCTTCTCAATTCCTTTTGTGGTGGCCAGTACCACTTTCTACCCAGTAACCAGCCTTTCATTCACTCATTTATTCATTAACAAATATTTACTGAGAAAGAAATAATGGCTATATGATATCTATATTTTCTGAAACAAAAATCAGCATTTCTTGTCTGAGAGACAATTTTTATGCTTTTTTTTTTTTCTGTGTATCAAGGGCAGTACACAAGATATAATTTGGACATGAACGTGTTGGGATTTCTGAGATATATTCATGGTTTGGGGTGACAGTAGCTCAGGATATTGAAAGTCAAACCCAATGATGCATCTAAGGAATAAATGTCCAATAAACAATAGAAAATGCACCAACTACATCCAATAAACACAAAAATCTATTTTTAAATGAACTTCTAGTTATTACTATTTCATATAAGAAAAAAGCAAATGGCTGGGAAAAAGAAGAATAAAACCTTATACCAGAAAATAATGATTTTAAATGTAGCTTAGTATATAATCTTGGTTCAAGAGCTCTTTCAACTTCTCCATAAGTTTAAAATTATTTCATAATAAAAGGTACAAAAATATATTGCCTGATATAAGTTTTAGTGCAACTTGTTTAAAGGGTGAGAGAGGAAGGGAAGGAAGGAAGGAGGAGCAGCCACCTAATTCCACAGCTTTGTTTATAAGGGGAAATAGATCTTTTCAGGGGCTGTGGCAGAGAGCTCTGGTCACTTGGGTAGGACCCAAGCAGCTTAGGGCTCACTAGCTGCCTCCCAAGGTACCACCTACTCTTGGCAGAGGACAGTATGTCCAGTGTCAAGCTATGTGATCAAGAACCACAGCCAGTTCATAGGCTTTATTTTCAGAGAATCAGATCTAAAAATCTCCCATTAAACAAAGTTATTACTAAATTAAGTGCTTACTGGTCCAAAAGTCATTGCATTCAGGGAAATACATTTTGGTTTTCGGTTGTTCTTTGTGTGTCTGTTTACATAGATTCACTCAATGGATTTTGATGACACGTGGCATCCTGCCACTCATCCTTCTGGAGCTGTCCTTCCTGTCCTCATGGCTTTATCAGAAGCCCTACCTCCAAGTCCAAAGTTTTCTGGCCTTGACCTGCTGCTTGCTTTCAATATTGGAATTGAAGTGCAAGGCCGATTAATGAATTTCTCCAAGGAAGCCAAAGACATACCAAAAAGGTATGGAAAATGTTTGCCCCACGATGACACTGCCATATTCCCCTTCATCTGTCAATCATACCTCTGTAGAGCTTTCTGATGCAAAGGTTGGCTCAGTTGAAGATGTTAACATTAGTGATAGCAGATAAATCAGGTCACCAGTCACATATCAAACCATATATAGAATGGTACAACTTCAGAAGTGCTAACGAAAATTCTCCTTTGGGTTTAGAAAGTCAACTAGGACCATGAAATAAATTGGGGTTTCTCACCCCAGGGTGACTCACGTCATTCTGGCATCTGTGGATACTCTGAATATTCCTGGTCCCATCAAAGCAGAATCTACTTTGATATTCGTTAGGGTTCCTCAGACTAATGAGAACATACAGAATATCCTAAACATGACTGTTCAACCCATAAATCAAGCGTGGTCAAATGTCGGCTGTATCATATGGTTCAATACAGTATTTATCTTGCCACTCGGTCCACCCTGCTAGGAGAGGTGTAAACTGGAATATTGACTGAACTTCCATAGTTTCTACATGGCCCTTAATTTTTATAGTTGCTTACATGGACTTTCAGCAATCAACAACTTTTGCCTTTCTCCAGTAATTGTAAAAGTATCATTTATAAAGAATTTACTGTTTCAGGCACTATTGTAAGCATATGGATTCATTCAAAACTTACAAAACCCTGTGAGTTAGATACTATTATTGTTGCCATTTTATGTAAGAGAAAACAGGTACAGAGAAGCTGAATAACTGTCCCCAAGATCACCCAGCTAATACGTGGAAGAGCTGAGATTTGAACCCAGGCAGTATGGCTCCATTATCTAAGTTCCTGATCACTACACTATACTGCCTCCTGGTGGGCGAGGTTTATAAGTCTCCAACTCTGCTTTTTTGCTTTTCTGCCTTTCAGATTCCATCCCCCATCAGTGGTAGGAACTTTGGGTAGTGCTGCTGCTGCATCCAAGATTTTAAGGCTCAGCATGACAAAGTGCCAGGAAGCCTTGGCTATTGCTGTTTCTCATGCCGGAGCACCCATGGCAAATGCTGCCACTCAGATCAAGCCTTTTCATATGGGCAATGCTGCCAGGCATGGGATAGAAGCTGTTTTTCTGGCAATGTTGGGTCTCCAAGGAAACAAGCAGGTCTTGGACATACAGACTGGATTTGGGGCATTTTATGGCAACTATTCCCCAAATGTCCTTCCAAACCTTGATTCTTACACCTGGCTCCTAGACCAGCAGGATGTGGCTTTCAAGAGTTTCCCTGCACATTTGGCCACCCACTGGGTGGCAGAGGCAACTGCATCTGTGAGAAGGCACCTTGTGACAGACAGAGTCATGCTTCCCACGGACCACATCGAGAGAATTGTGCTCAGAATTCCAGATGTCCAGTATGTCAACCGACCTTTCCCAGACTCAGAGCATGAAGCCCGTCACTCTTTCCAGTATGTGGCCTGTTCCATGCTGCTTGATGGTGACATCACGGTTTCATCATTTCACAAACAACAGATCAACAGGCCACAGGTGAAAGAGTTGCTTTGTAAGGTGGAGCTGGAACACCCTCAAGACAACCTGCCAAACTTCAACACACTATACTGTGAGATAAGTGTCACCCTCAAGGATGGAGCCACCTTCATGGAGCGCTCTGATACCTTCTATGGTCACTGGAGGAAGCCATTGAGCCAGAAGGACCTAGAGGCCAAGTTCAGAGCCAATGCCTCCAGGATGCTGTCCTGTGATACAGTAGAAAGACTTATAAAGATAGTAGACAACCTGGAAGGCCTAGAGGACTGTTCTGTGTTAACCACACTTCTGAAAGGACCCTCTCAATCAGAGATGGCTTCACAATCATGTAGCACTTAACAATTCCATAATACAATCTCCCCTGAGGTTTACCAATATCTAAATGATTTTATATTTGGGGAAATTCAGTGATTTGCCTTACAGAGCAAAGGTCTGATCTTGGTTTGCCCAGAAATAAACATAGCATGGTGGAGAGAGTTTAGACAGAACTGGGTATGCATGGAAAGAGTCTTGTCCTGTAAATTTGCAAGACTGTTCCAATTACCTATAGCAAGATAATACATATGCAAGAAACACAGAGAAATGGATTTTATAAGCATTCACTAAGCTGAATTTCAAGTCACCTGTGACTTGCTTATAAAATTAACCTTTTCAGAAGACTTTTATGAACTTCATGAACCTCAAGGTGTAAAAAGAATTTGAACCTGTACATATGTTTGCTGACAGTGAAGAAGGGCTCTGGTCTGTTGTGCCACCTACAGATTTCTTAGACCATGGGTTATAGTCTCTCCACAGTGGAGGGGATGCTGTTGGGTTTAAGTATAAGGGCTTAGTGGGTTCAAATTCTACTTCTGCAACTTATTAGATGTATCCTGGGCATGTTACTGGGTATCCTTCTGCCTCAGTATCTCTATTTTGTAAGGCATAAATAAAAACCAGTCTAAAAAACAAAGCAGTTTAGCTCCAGAAGCCATGCTCTTAACCACTATAATATGTCACCTTTCATTATAATTTTTTTGAGAAATGAATAATGAATGAAGAGCCCGAGATGTAATAAAGAATCACAACAAAAAAGTATATATGTCTATAATTAAATAAATATTGATTATATAAAATAATAAAATGTCTTATGAGTTTAAAATTGCAACATTAGCAGGAGAGGTTATAGTTAATGTGTTCTAAATTCCTTGCGTTGTTTAAGAGAAGAGCAAAGCTACTAACTCTAGACTTTGATTTGTAAATATGTATGTTGACATTTTTAGGGTCACTATTATAAAAAAGCAGTAGACTGTATCATTTCCAGGATAATGGAGAGGGAAATATGGAATTAGGAAAGAAAAATAACCCATAGGAAGGCAAGACTGGAGGAGGGAAGAAATATAGAAAAGGCAGAATAGACATAAAAATTATAGAAAAAATCCAAATATATCTATAATTGCAAAAACGGGAAATGAACTAAATGTCTCAGTTAAAAAGATAGACTATGAACTCATTTTTTAAAATGTTTCATAGCTTTATTAACATCTACTTTACATACTATTAATTCATCCATTTTAAGTGGGTTTTAAATTTATAAATCTGTGCAAACATCACCACAATCAAGTTTTGGAATACTTCTATCACTCCAAAAAATTCTTCATGACTGCTTGCAATCAATCCCCATTCCCCTCTCCAGCCCTCAGCAAACAATGCTCTGCTTTCTATCTCAATAGGTTTATCTTTTCCAGACATTTTCTATAGTAAATGGAATCATACAATACATAGCCTCACGTGTCTGACTCTTTCACTTAGCATAACAGTTTTAAGATTTTTCCACATATTATGTACCAGAGCACTTTATTCCCTTTCATTGCCGAGTAGCACTCCATTGTAAGGATATACTTCACTTTGTTTACCCATTCATTAGTTAATGGACACTAGAATTGTTTCCAGTTTGGAGCTATTATGAATAATCCTTCTATGAACAAGCTCATACCATCCTTCTGTAGGCATAACTTCCTATTTCTCTTGAGTAAATATGTAGGAGTGGGAATTCTGGGTCATCTAGTAAGTACATAGTTCACTTTATAAAAAACTGTTTTCCAAAAGTAGCTCTATCTTGTTGCATTTCCATCAGCAATGTGTAAGAGTTCCGGTTTCTCCATATCCTCACCAACCCTTAGAATTATCAGGTTTTTTAATTTTAAACAGTCTAGTGAGTGTGCAATAGTAGTTCATTGTGATTTTAATTTACATTTCCTTCATGGCTAATTTTTGCCAATTATTTTAATTAGCTTGTCTTATTATTGAGTTGTAAGAATTATTTATATATTCTGGGTATAAGTTTTTTATCAGATATATGCTTTGCAAATATTTTCTTCCAGCCTATGACTTGTCTTTTCATGTTTCTAATGGCCTCTCTTGAAGAGCAAAAGTTTAAAATTTTGATTAAGTCCATTTTACCATATTCATAAAAAATTTTATTGTTCCTGTTTTCGGTATCATCAGAAGACTTTTTTAAAATCCAGTTATTGAAGATATCAATAAATATCCAGTTATCAATAAAATCCACTTTATTGAAGATACATAAGGAAGTAGAAAAACTGAAAGTGAAAAGATGGGGAAAATATGGAGTATTAACATAAGAAAGCTAGTATAAATAAATGTTAATGTTAGACCAAAGGGAATTCAAACAAAAAGCATTGCTAGAAATAAATATAATAATAATAAAAATTCAAATCACTAGGTAACAAAATAATTCTAAATCTATGTTCATCTAAATAATATTGAGCAACAAGGAGAGATAGATAAATTCAACATCATACTGAGAAAATTTTAACATTTCTCTCTTAGTAATTGATATTTAAAGGAAACCAAAAAATAAAGAGACTCTGTAAGATTTACACACAATCAGCTGTTTTATCTAATGGACACATAGAGAATTCTGTACCCAATAACTCGAGAATTCAAAAATTTTTTAAATCTCACAAAACATTTACAAAAATGGACCATATACTGAGCTTAAAGCAAGCCTCAGCAAGTTTTCAAAGGATTGGAGCATACAGATCATTTCTCTAATCACAATTCAATTAAGTTAAAAAAAAATCAATATAAAAAAAGTTACTAGAAAAGCCTGAAATGTTTGGAAACAAACATTCCTCTAAATAGGTCTTGGGTCACAGAAGAAATTATAATGAATATAACAAAGCATTTAGAACTAACCAATTAGAAAAAATACCACATATCAAAACGTGTAGGATGCTGCAAAAGCAGTACTTAGGAATGTGCAGAATTTTCTGTTGCTGGCTCTTCGCTACTTGGATTCTGCTGTTCCATAGGGTGCTTCATGTTAACTCTGACGAGTTTGTTCAACCACAGCCGATCAAAGAGAAAAAAGAGCTGGTTTCTATTGTGGCCTTGAGATAAAATTTACTTACTAATCCTGTCTTGACACATTTTAGAAGTTTCTGGGGGCAAGATCTGAGGGCCATTAATAATACCCTCAGATAACCCCTGTTAAAAACAAGATAATATACTTTTATGATAAGCTGCATATCACCAAACCACGACTTAATTACAGTTTCACCTCTCCCAGAAAGTGGAATCTTAAGCCAGTCGATCAGAAATGTCCTGATCAGCATGAGTTAGGTCATCTGCCCGAGAACCACGTGCCATCCCCTAAAGGAAAGTAACTCTGCAATAATCAACCTGCGTTTTTGCCTAGCATAACTTCCTGTTTTGTCTCCCTTCTGCCTATAAAATCTTCTGTTCTGTAAGCCCCTTGGAGCTCCTTTCTATCTGCTAGATCGGATGCTGCCCAAATTGAGTCCATTTTTGCTCAAACTCTTAAAAAATTTAATATCCCTTAGTTGATCCTTTAACACCCCTGACAATGCACCAGACGAACAGCAGGGGTTGGGGAAGATAACCTCTCCTGAGGGGGATAGCGGAGCTCAAGGTGACCTTGATATTATTGGCTTATACCCACTAAGTTAACTGAAGGCAGGAGAAAATATGAGGGAATGCGGGCCTGTAGAGAGAGCTTCAGCGTCTTTCTTCACTGGCAGCCCTGCACCCTGTCCACCCCCACGGTACCACCTAGAAGAAAAAAAAAACAGAGGAGAGAGGGAGAGGCTGGCTCCCCACATTCCTTCCTAGATGATTCCCTTCTATGAAGGCAGAAGCGAGGGCATCTTTGAGCCATGGTGCTAGGGGAGACCTTTGGATGAAATGAGAGACTTAAAGCTGAGCCCGTTGTCTCTTCCTTCCAAGAGCCTAAAGAATAGGAACTGAGTCCTCCACATAGGTCCGGCCAGACCACCGGGGATAAAACCCACCTGAGACGGGGACAAAGGCTCAGCTCACAGAGAAGGGTCATCACGGCTGCCTGCTCACCGTATCACTGCGTCATCAGCACGTATCCCAGGCCCTGAATCAAACTGACTCAGTCACCAGACACACTTTTGCAAGCTCTGAGGACCCCTAGTACTGGCTGTTGCATATGTGTGAGGGATCCCCAGAACCATGCACGCATTCAGGTATTCACCAGAAGAACTCGTGGGATGCAGGCAGAGTCTGGAGAAATCCACGCATAGGCTTTCGATGCCCAGTCCCTCCAGGGAGGAGACTCACGAACATGCTCCTTTCTCCAGCAGGGAAAATTCAGTACAGTGTATATAGTTGTCCCTCGGTATCCAGGGGGAATTGATTCTAGGACCCCCTCAGATACCAAAGTCCAAGGATGCTCAGTCCCTTATATAAAATGACATAGTATTTACACATAACCTGTATTTGCAAATAGGCTATAGCACATTATGCTTACACATCGCTTCATTCACGTGGATTCAATGCAGTGCTCCATACATAGAAAATTCAAGCAAATTTTTGGAGCTTTCTGGGATTTTTCCCCCCAAATATTTTTTATCTACAGTTGGATGAGTCCACAGATGCAAAACCCACAGATACAGAGGGCTGACTGTACAACATTTCTGCCCCGGGCGGAGACTTAGCACCCACAATTTTTTTCAGTGGTTGGTCATATAGGCACCCTTTGCCCAGCCACAACCATAATTCCAAACTCAAAGAAGGAAAGCAGGTGTTCAGCATAATGCACATTGCTTTCACAGTCCCAGCAAAGTCAACCAATTTTATAAGACAGAGTGGGTCAAGTGTGGAGTTCCCAGACGCCAGCCAAGGACCAACCTTATAAACAGGCCCTAATAAAGACGGGGCCTCCAGCCTGCTGTTATCTCTTTCCTGCACAGCTCTTTCCATCCTGAAATGCCTTCCTTTCCTGTTTGTGTGGCTTTGCAAGGTAGAAAAATGATACAGAAAAATTGGACTTTGCTTCCATTTTAGCGATTGTCTCTGCTCTGTAGCGCTTGAGCTCTGTAAGCTGTGTGCGCTATCACAGTATTAACTAAAACTGACACCCCAGTAGGCTTACAACTGTCAGATCAAAGAGCTGTAATGATTTTAACCAAGGCACTTAAATTGAGACTATATGAGTTTAAAGGGAATTTAAAATGTGTTTTATAATAACTTTACTTGGAAACCTATATCACAGTCAGATAAGTCCCCTACCGTATCTGGCACCACTGTAAGGTCTATAAAAGTTTGTGTAGGGGAACCTTCTCAGGAATTTGAGTACATCG